CCAAACCCCATAAACAATTCTGTAAATTTTAGTTCATCTCCCGTCGGCGGCCGAAATAGTCAGCCACGGCAAGATAACCTCTTTTCGCCGATGACAAACCAGCCAACTCCTCACCGCATGAATCACGGCGAGATTCCTGCCACTACTCAAGTGGAAGATGTGGGAGTTGGAGAAATTCCCACACGTGGTGAGAATTTGGGAGTTACACATTCTGCTCCAGTGGAACCGCCACTCATACCCATACCAATGGCAAGGCCCTATACGGTGCCTACTCACATGGGAGGGGGAGTAGGCTTAGGTGGGGTAGATCAAGTTCCTCCCAGAGCATACCCAACACCCATGCCACCCCATTTCAATGGGCATGGCATGGACCCCATGGGTTTCGTACCCCAAGGGGGGCAACCAGGGGGGCATGATCTTAACACTCTAAGGGACCAGGTAGCTCAACCTCGTGCCGAGCAATTTGGCATGGGAGTGAGACCCACCATGCCACCTGTTTATCGAAAACCATACCCTGAGTGGGTGGATAGACTCTACTCATTCCAAGGGGGTTTAGGGTGCCCAATTTTGCCACATTCACTGGGACAGAAGACCAGTCTACTGTGGAGCACATTGGACGTTTTACTGTCCAGTGTGGGGATGTAGGAGATTTTATTAAGTTACGAGTATTTGCAAACTCATTGACAGGACTTGCTTTTGCTTGGTATGTCAACTTGCCGTCCAACTCCATCCAAACATGCAGCAGATGGAGCAAATATTCCGCGCTCAGTTCTATAGATCTGAGTGCGAGGTTTCCATGGTTGATTTGGCACGAATGCGCCAAGAGCCGGGGGAGTCAGTGGAGCACTTCTTGACAAATTTCAAGAATGCTCATAACCGTTGTTTTGTCAACTTGACAGAGAGAGTTTGTCAAGTTAGCACAAGGGGGGCTGAGTTTTGAGTTAAGGAAGAAATTCCAAGATAGAGATTCTCCGAATTGTTCCAACTCATGTCTTGTGCGGTGAGATATGAATCTCTTCATCAAGAAGAGAAGAATAGGAGGAGTGCCTCAAGGGGGCAATACTTTCCCAACATCGGCTACCCTGTTAACCATATTGGCCAAGAGGCCAATGGGGTGGAGGTAGACCTGGCTGAGTTAACTCCAGGGAAGCCATATGTATGTGCTCCTTTGGCTAAGACGGATATCGAACCACAAGGGGGTAGACCAAATCGTGCCCCCATCCAGCCACAAAAATATTCCTTTGATATCTCCAAAGCTGACTTAATTTTTTACCAACTCTACAAAGCTGGTCAAATCAAGTTGACAGGGGGGCATAACATCCCACCCCCTGGGAAGTTAAAAGGAAAGAAGTATTGTAAGTGGCATAATAGCATATCACACTCTACTAACTCATGTGTGGTTTTTCGCAATGTATTGCAGGATGCCATTGAGAAGGGACGCATCAAGTTCCCTGAGCCAAAGAAGGATGCCATGCTGGTGGATAACAACCCGTTTCCCAACGTGCTTGGTGTTAACATGGTTAATCTCGACTTCTCCAAGATTGAGCTTCCCCGTTTCAAACTGGTGTTAGACATAACACCGCAACAAGGGACCCCCAATATGATAGTGGTGGAGCAGGGAGAGTCATCGAGGGGCAAGCAGGCTAACTCGGCCGCGTCTAAGGTGTCCAGTGAGGTGGAGAAGCTATGTGCCCAATGCAAAAGGAATCTTAGACTTGATGAAGTGAGACCAACTCCACCAGTCCAACAGAGTCTTGGTCCACCCCATAGGCCAAGATACCCACCTTACCAAAGACAAGTAGAGGGGGTCATTCAACCGGCTTGGGGGCAAAGGAGGAAATTTGTAGCACATGGTCCTCTTCCAATGAGAAGGACTTCCAAGATGCCCAATGTGCCACAAGGAGGGGGCCATACTTATGATATGAATAGTCAACCAGTAGCTATTGGGGGGATGACAAGGACTCAAAGGAGGAGATTCCTACGTAAGAATGCTAAAGCACGAAAGGGCAATACCTAGTAGTACTTGGTGAGATAGTGGGTTCATCACAACAAAATGAGGGTGGTCATGCTAGTATTGAGGTGGACAACTCTATGAAAACGGGTTCCAAAGTAATAGTGTCAGACAAAGGCAAGCATGTCCAAGTCCAAAGTGATGGCAAGGGTCAGAAGGGAAAAAATGGTGTAGGGGGTGATTCAAAGTCAACTTGTGAAGAATCATCTCCTTTGAACAACCATGGTCATATGGTGTATGGTTGGCTTGTTTGGTTTAATACATGGACTTGGCAGTGGATGTATACCTTTGGCACTTTGGTTATTGCCAAAGGGTATGGAGATCAAGGATGCTTGTAACTACTTATTATATGCAATAAAAAAATTAAAAAATATATTTATTAATATAGAAAAGCCAATAATGGCTATATATATATTTAAAATGCCAAAGTGGCAAGTTTCAGAAGAAGTTAGTAGGTTTTGATGTGAGAATCTTGCCACGACTGGTAAGCCTCAATCATTACTCATATTGTCAGGCCATTAAGGTGGCCTAACCATGTCGAACTTTAAAATTTTGTAAGGTGTGAACCATATACCCCATGACAAGACATGGAGGTGATGGTGAATGGCATGCGGCAAGATTATTAGTAGTTTGGATTAACTAGGGGGCATGATGTTGTTGTAGCCTAATAACTTCAAAAGATACCACGCCGTGTGATTTAAGAGTGACCAGTAGTGTTGGTGGTCGTAGTGGCATGGGGGGCACGGTTGTGTCGAGATGGAAGGACTATGGAATAATTATGTTTGACTCCCTTCCTTCCTCCCACACGGCAGCAAAGGAGAAGAAATTGAGATTGTTTTGGTCATTTAAATTGTAAGGCCAACTATTTGAGTTTGATGGCCTAGTTGGTGTGAAACTACTTAGTCCATAATTCTTATGAACTAAGTAGTTGGGAGCAATTGTTTACACCAAAAATTAACCTTGTATCACATCGGTTAAAAACAAGGAATTAAATGGCTTTATAAGGCCAGCTTAATTATAATAAATAAAATCGACTAAGATGGGCCACGGGGATTGGATTTTTGGGCCCATGGCACCCATGCCAAAGCCACTTTGCACGCCACCCTTGCCATCAATTCCAAAATTTGGCAAAGTGTTGGAACCACCCCCATGACATGGTGATGGGGGTGATGGCTGAATTTGGCTAAGGCAAGGAGTATGAGAGCCACCCCCAGGACGTGGCAATGGGGGTGGGCATCATACCACCACGGGGTGACCACCATCATACCACCCCCAGGACGTGCCAAGGGGTGTGGCCACCATCATACCACCCCCCATGATGTGGTAAGGGGGGCAGACATCATACCGCCAACCCCATGACATGGTGAGGGGGGTGTTGGCAGAATTTGGCTAAGGCAAGGAGTATGGGAGCCACCCCCAAGACGTGATAAGTGGGGTGGGCATCATACAGCCACCCCCAGGAGGTACCAAGGGGGTGGCCACCATCATACCACCCCCAGGACGAGGTAAGGAGGGTGAGCATCATACCACCACCCTTAAGAGGTACCAAGTGTTACAACCCGGTCTTCCCCAAAAGTCAAAATGACTATTATACCCTTCGGTCAAGTTCCACCGTATTATCGATGAGGATTAAAAATGTGAACTAATAGTTCAAACGGTGTCGAGTTTCGACATAAAGTGAGAAAATTATGGACGTTAACTGAGTTTCGTATAAACTCACCCAAAATTGTTAAATTCCCAAAATTCCCCGGGTCAATTAAACCTAAGCTCACCCTAGTTAGTCATTACCCCACCCCACTCTCGACACCATTTAAATAAGCCATTCTTTTCCTTCTTCCAACTGCCGCTCAACTTTTATTTTTGTCATCTCCTCTCCGTCCCATTGAAACCCAATATAAAGATCACCGACTCTAGAACATGAAAGGGGACAAGAAGGGGTTATTGGCAAAAGGAGGAGAAGGCGTTGAGAGAAGAGATTATTGGGTCGCGAAGTCAAGCGGAGAGAAGGAAATTGAGAGGGGTGAGCGGAAATCTTGAATTACTAAGGGATATGTAAATGGTGGAACCCCGAGATTGAAGATTAGATCAATTTTGGTGGATCTATAATATGACATCAGCAGCTCGGATCGGCCGGTGGAGAAGGTGGCTCCGAAATCGAGTGAATTAAAGCTACGGTTGGCAAGGCATGTGAGAAAGAACAGATACGATGAGGAACCGCGAGGCTTGACAGCGAACAGAGGTCGTGGGGGTGATCCATCCTTAATGAGGATAGAGACTCATCGATTGATTACTAAGGTGAATGTAAAGGGGTTAAATTCTACGCCTTACGGTTTTCAAGTATTTGCCTTGAGTATTTTCGAGTATTGAGTTATTGTTAAAGAAGGTGAAATTTTATGAGTATAAGAAACAAGGTCTTTTTAAGAAGTAATTCACCTTCAAGAAGGTGAAGTCGTTTTAAGCGTGTTTAGTCACTAGCGCCAGTCCGTTGCCTTTTGAGACATTTTGAGATAGAACAGCAGTTATGCTCTTGAGACTTTTAAGATGAGCAGCAGTTATGCTCTTGAGAATCGTGGTGAAGAGCCACCACGATGAGTTTAAGATGTTAGGGGGATGAATCGTTACGACTCCCCTAACTAAGTTTAAGTTTAAGGAAAGCCTGGATGGCTTCTCATACGTATGAGTTGGGCAACCGGACTAGCTAATGAGGGGTCTCCGTGTCAGTCAAGTATTTAAGTCAAGATTTGAGCTTTAAGAGAGGAGAGTAACTTCAACTCCCTCAAAGTTTAAGAGTTAAGATTTTAAGATTGGAAGTACAAACAACTTCCACTAGTCAAAGTTAAGTGTTTAAATAAAGTACTCAAGTATTAGAATTATTAAAACGTAAGGGCGTAGACTGACCCCATCTCACTCACCAGTACTTAGTAAAGGAATAAGCGAGAATTAGATCGATAGTTGCAGCTAGAGGAGCAGTTAGTGAGCAGCGAGATAGAGAAAGCTGTTCGGGGCAAGCCAGCTAGAGGAGGATAGTACAAGCGTCACTGGAGGTGCCAGAGATCGAATCCGAGCGGACAACAAAGTAGAGTATTAGTTATTTACATTTACGATTATGAGTAGTGACTGGAGATTCAGATTAAGATTCTATGGTTGAGGTTTGCCCAAGCGTTAGGGCTTTGTTTTAAGAGATTTCAGCTCATTTCAGTATTTGTTATGGTTATTTATGGAAAGCTTCCATTTTGTTTTACAAGTCTTTCGTTTCTTATTTTGGTTTATGAGTCATCAAGGGCATTTTGGTAAAATTAGTACCCGGCCGGTTTAGGGTGTTTCATTTTGATATCAGAGCCGGTCTTCCTCTGTTTCTTGGTTTCCAAGGAATACTAGAATATCGGTCTTAGTTTTTTAAGGCTTTTGTTTTAAAGGAAAGGAAAATGAGTCAAGGATCTTCTTTTAAGAGTCTATAGAATCTCCAGTCTACTCTAATCGTATTAAGATAAATAACTTTACTCCTAATAAAAGGGTGCGTCAATCGCAAAGGGTTATCCGGAGGGATAAGTACGAGGAAGCGAAGGAGTTGAAGGTGCACTACGAGGATTTTCTACTTAGCCACTGGCAAACGATCTAATAGGTTAAGATAAACAAAGAGGAGAACTATGAATCTTCGAAGAAAGAGCTACAGTCACTAGATGTTAGTAGCTATAATGATGTGAGGATTTCAAGGTCCTTGACCCTAAGCAGTGGCGAGAAAGCAAAGAGTCAAGAAACGAAAAGGTACCACCAGAAGTCCCCCAACTGATTTTAGTCGTTGATGGCTCGACTCTATTACAACACAGTGACAAGGAGTAGTGGAAAGCTTAAGCTTCAAGAAAAGCTAAGGTAGTATAAATGAAGCAAATGAGGTAATAAGTAAGTTACAGGGAGTATGGAAGGACGTTAGGAAGTCAATAGGTCAGGGCGGAGAGGAGGCAGGTTCATTTACATATGACGATAAAGGAACCCTTATTGATAAACTACATCACTAGAGAAGAGGGTACATGACCCTAGGGAGTTAGTTCGATGATAAACTACATCACTAGAGAAGAGGGTACATGACCCTAGGGAGTTAGTTCGATGACAAGCCTTTAGAAGGAACAAAGCAAGCAATGAGATGAATGATGTAGAGGACAAGTTATGGTCTCAGTAAGACCAACATTAGACGAGACAAGGAGGAAATTGCCACCAAAGTCTAAAGAGTGCCTGGTAGAAGACACTGGTGAGCCAATGTGTAAGAAAAGACATGGAATGTGAGAGAGAATAACTGTTAGTGAGTACGAATAGAGAACTACTTCTCAGCAATGCGTGATTTGAATACTAAGTTAGCACTGAGCTAGAAAGAGGATATTAGAGACACTACAAACTACCCAGATCACGAAAGGTCAGGAGGTCGTTGGGACTGTTGAAGGGGGAATGCAAGAGTTCGTGATGATCTGTTATGTGGTGGTCCTATCCTAAATGGAGGGAGCATCTAGCCACCTAGGGTTTGTGAGGGGTGACAGAAGGAGGAACCTCCATAGTAAGTGGGAAATAGGGGGCTAAGAGCTGAAGTCTCAAAACTAGCTATATGAGTAAGTCATTAAGCCAATCGAGTATAGACAAGTAAGTGGAAAGTTCAATAAATATTCTAGCGAATGGCAGAGAATTCGAGGAAGCACATGGAAGTTCCGATGAAGGATTGAGAATATGTGTGGGTGACTTGAGTTCAAAAAGTTGCATAAAGAAGTACGATGAGGAAATAACTACCGAGAAAGAGAAAGCACTAAGTTACCTTATCCAAGGCGACCCGTTCTAAATTGGTGTGGCCTAGTAGGATGTCATCAAGACGAGGCGGCTAGTTAAGGATGAATCAGACACGTTGAGTTAATCCACTAAGAATCCTAACTAAGAGATTAACCCAATGTACAAGCATCAATCAAGACAAAAGACGTGAATGAGCTATGTTAAAACTTACTAAGGGCAAGCCACTATTGGAAGCTTTGACCCAAAACAACAACGAGAAGATGCTCAGAGGAGTTGGTGACCAAATATAGTACAAAGCAACAACATAGAGGTAGTAAAATTAAAGAAGCAAGGAGAACATCATAGGACGCTATAGGAAAAAAATGGTAGTCGTCGGGCGGATAATGAATGCGTGAAGGAAGATAGTTAGGACAGGCCGAAGCAGGAATACAACAAACAACAAGAAAGCATTAGGTTGATTACCAGTAGAGAACAATTGGTCTATAGAAAGTCTATTGATAAATTTCAATCAATTGTATGGTGGAATCGTGGTCATCAAGAATAGTCGAAGGGATAACCTTATTTGTCAAGGTACATAAATGAGAAGAGAAAATAGGAACCCAGAGGACTACATCGAGAACAAGGGACATCTAGAACTAGCAAGGAACATCAGGAAGAGGAGTCACGAGTAAGGAAGTAAGATGGATATGAGTTTAGGGAACCTGCTAGAATGCCTCAAAGTGAAACCAAGATTGCCTATGGTGGTGAAAGGTGGCAATCTCTCGGGTGAAAATTTCTTGGACAAGGAAATCGTACGAGGAATTTCATCTAAGGTCTAAGAATGACAGATATAAAGTACGAGAACTCCAAATTTAAGCGTCGATAGGGAAGTGCTAAGTTAGGCGCTGAGAGTGAACAAGTATGCAAAATGGAAGGGCATGATTCTTGAAAGGAGTCATAAGGCTGATTGCAAGCTAGAGAAAGATGCAAAAGATGCCTTTAATGCATACAGACAGTAAAAGCAGTAGTATGAGGTTTCTGTGTTTAGCAAGAAGTAACGAGGAGATGACCATTCAGTTTATGGTTAAAGGATAAGACGAGCTAGACATCAAGGAAGAAAGTAAGAGATGCAAAGTTAGGAGATACAAGGACCTAGGTGACCTATGAGGTCAACTACGGATGAGATTTACGGTAAAAGAGTTTTACCATCTGAGTGGATAGAGAATATATGTTATGGTCAAGAGTACATATAAGAACTATAGTAAGCTATTCAAGACAAGGTAAGGGCACACCATTGAAGTTCATATAGAAAGAGTGAAATCTTGAGCCAAAGAAGCACGAGAATGAGGAGTATGGAAGGATTAGCCCGATCAAATTTCGGGGACGAAATTTTTATAAGGGTGGAGGAAATGTTACACCCCGCTCTTCCCCAAAAGTCAAAATGACTATTATACCCTTGGGTCAAGTTCCACCGTATTATCGATGAGGATTAAAAATGTGAACTAATAGTTCAAACGGTGTCGAGTTTCGACATGAAGTGAGAAAATTATGGAAGTTAACTGAGGTTCGTATAAACTCACCCAAAATTGTCAAATTCCGAAAATTCCCCGGGTCAATTAAACCTAAGCTCCCCCTAGTTAGTAATTACCCCACCCCACTCTCGACACCATTTAAATAAGCCATTCTTTTCCTTCTTCCAACCGCCGCTCAACTTTTATTTTTGTCATCTCCTCTCAGTCCCATTGAAACCCAATATAAAGATCACCGACCCTGGAACATGAAAGGGGACAAGAAGGGGTTATTGGCGTAAGGAGGAGAAGGCGTTGAGAGAAGAGATTATTGGTTCGCGAAGTCAAGCGGAGAGAAGGAAATTGAGAGGGGTGAGCGGCAATCTTGAATTACTAAGGGATATGTAAATGGTGGAAGCCCCGAGATTGAAGATTAGATCAATTTTTGTGGATCTATAATATGACATCAGCAGCTCGGATCGGCCGGTGGAGAAGGTGGCTCCGAGATCGAGTGAATTAAAGCTACGGTTGGCAAGGCATGTGTAACACCCCACCCTAAAATCATGGATCGAACCGATGGTTCAACCGCGCAGCGGAAATCACTCGGGGTTTACGTTTTCAAACTCTCGACTCAACTAAAATCCACATCATTCTCATATGTTTAAAATTCAACTCATCATAACAATTTACTAAAAATCATATTCTCAATTCATCAATCCATCTTCCTCAAATTCAGGATTCACATAACCCAGACTATCAATCTCGTCAACTCCGTTCATGCTCAACTCAAGTTAATGATCATATTTGACCAATGTAAACTATCATGCATGCTCAACCTGAACCATGAAATAAGGATTCTAGAATACATCAATAGGTGAAAAATCTTTTAAATCAAAATCCTCCATCGATCATTGTGCAGTGCCAGAGTCATCCTCAATTTATCACACCTGTCACATCTAGAAAGAAAAATGGGTCAGCTACTAAGCTGAGTGCGTGGACCTGGCCTATACGGCAAAACTATTGTTAGTATGCCAACACATCATCACATCTTGTTGATTAAAACACATCATCAACAAATTATCATGCCACACGAAAATCTCATTAATCTCTAGATTTATTTCTAGGTCATCAATCCAAATTCATCTTTAACCCAATTCCTCATGGTATGACTTTCATTAATCAAGTCGTATATCGACATAAAATCGTAAACTTACCTCAACTCATGAATCCATCATATCAATCCTTCATTCAAAGTCAATTCATTATTTGAACATCAAACATATCAATCGTTCATCCATAATCAAATCACCAATTTGGAAATAACCATATCAATCATTCATCCATAATCAAATCACCAATTTGGCATTAACCATATCAATCTTTCAATCAATCATCAATCGAATATAACTTCACGATTTTCCTTTATGGAAATCATCTCGATCATATATATCATATGCAATGCATGAAATGCAGACTCTCCATTTGTTATTAATTTGCGCGCTAAGGTCACCATACGCCCACCCCGCTCGAGCTCATCATCTTAGTGGTTATATAAAAAAAACCACAATCTCATCCAATCTAGGATTATCATAAATCCTTTCATTAGGACCGCAGCCCAATCAATCTCATAGGGATAGGCATAGGCCCTTCTATGTCTATGTGATTTAACATGATCAAATAATATCAATTTTTCTCTTCCATCATATCTCAATCGATCCAAGAAATCAACAGCGTCCCATTGATATTCCCAGTCCATGCATATCTCACATCATCTATGCATACTTTGATGCATTGCACGATCTCAATATAATCATCATCTTCTCAATGATATAAATAATTCATTCTCTTAAATCAAACTTGACAAATCTACCAAGTACTCAATTTATCAATACCTCATTCACTCATCGTAATCATTTAACATATCAAATACAAATCGATCATGATAATATCTCATCCACATCATCATTAATCAAAACATTCATCATATCAACATTGTCACAAAATATCTCAGTAATATTTATATTTACCAATCACATTTATACCAATCGATATTCTAATCACGTCATACTCATACACGTCAATCATATCACTATCACTCAATATCCCTGTAATTATCCCTGTCATTAAAATGTAACTTAACTTCAATCTGAATTAAAATATCTCGTGATAATCATCTCACCATCATACTCACTTTATAATAATTTTCCCTTAAATTGCCATTATTCTAAAAATCGTAATATAATCTCTTTAATAACAAAACGAGATAGAAACCGGTTTCATCCATCTAAAAATCCAACCAAGATCACAAATCCGTTCTGTAATTATTATGACCAGAATTCCTTCTCGTATCTAATCCAATTTATAAATTCACAATTTCAACCTTTTTAAAGTCATAACATCAATTAATTCCAAAAACTCAATTATTACCAATATAATGATTCTCATGGTAATATATCATGACTAATGTCGTCTCAAGATTCCTTAAATTTCTTTTCCATATTCTGATCTCAATAAACATTTTCATAAAATATTCGGAGTTCACCATATACGTCAACAATTCCAATACGAGATTAATTATTATTATTATCATAAAAATCAGTTAACTTCATCAACAATTTCATCCAAGATCACAATAATGAATCAATCACAAATCCATCATAATCATTAATCATCAACTCAATTATGCGTATTTAGAAATAAACACGTAATTCCTGTTCCCTTTTACCGTAAGCCCACACACCTTATTTATGATGAAATCCGATTCTGTGAAAGCTCTGGAGATTCCAGATCTTGGTTTCATAATATTCTCCTCATTCTCACAGTCCTGTAGGCGAAAACGGGTCTTCGTTTGGACGTCAAACGAATGAATTGTGGACAAAATACTAATTCTGTCAAAACACGAAGTACCAGGTACCAAATCTAACATATTCCAATCAACTGAATCCTGTTGACCGTGACCTCTTAGGCAAATTACGTCTAGGTCCTCTACATTTTCGAACACCCAGAAATGATACCTTAGTTTTGTAAAACGGCAGTTTTACGTTGCAAACTTGCGGAGCTCGGTTCTTGCTCGTCCGACGTCGAAAACGAGTTTCGTCAAAAAGTGCACGCTCCTGGAGTCGTCCTCTTCATCATGGTACCAGCCTTTTGGAGTTTTGTTGAAGTCGACGACGCCGGTGCCGCCGACGCAACTTTCCGACGAGCCTCCCATGAGCTTCTACGAACCTCCAATGGCGATTCTGACTTCGTAGTTGGCTTCCGGACCGCCCTATTATCATAACGCAAGTCTAAGAAGAATGGTCTCCTCTCCTCTCCTTTCCTTTCTTCTTTCTTTCTCTCTTCTCTTCGTGTTTTTGTTCGTTGTCTATGGATGAAGGAAAAAGATGAAAGGACTCACCCTTTGTTTAAAGGCTCTTTAAAGAACTGTCACTCTCCCCTCTATGATCGTATCCAAATTATTAGATATGCTAACCTGTTATGTTAAAGTGTGTCGGGTATAATTGATCTTCTCCCTCTCTCCGTCGGTGCAAAAATGCATTTACTAGGCCTGGGATTTACGTCTCAATATTAATAAAAAAAAGATTCCTCATGAACATTGATAGTAAGCATGCAGCCTAGTTGTGTAACACTTGTCTTATTGGCTGGAGGTCACTAGTTTGACCCTAGGCTATGTACATTTTTTTTTCTTTTTGCTCTTATCTAATGTTTAGGGCGACTTCCAAATTTTAACTCATAACTCCTTCGTTTAATAGCGAAATCTGATATCGTCTGCGTCCATGTGTTCTTATTTTTGTTCTCTATCATATTATCTTCATTTCAAATTTATTGTCTAGATTTTTCATATCCTTAATTGGCGAGGACTCGCGATCGTTACATTTCAATCTCTTCTCTCCAACTATTTTTTTCTATAACATTGGTTCTCCATCGAACCAAAATGGTTAAAGAGTTAACCTATGTATGGGATGTTACAGCATGTGACAAAGAGTTGATACGATGAGGAACCGCGAGGCTTGACAGCGAACAGAGGTCGCAGGGGTGATCCATCCTTAATGAGGGTAGGGACTCATCGATTAATTACTAAGGTGAGTGTAAAGGGGGTAAATTCTACGCCTTATGGTTTTCAAGTATTTGCCTTGAGTATTTTCAAGTATTGATTTACGTGTGCAGTATTTGATTCATGTTTGAGACTGCATGATTATGGTTGATGATATGTGCCTTGTTTGACTTATGACTTGAAGTCAATGGTTATTATTTACCTTGAAATTTTATGAGTATAAGTTATTGTTAAAGAAGGTGAAATTTTATGAGTATAAGAAACAAGGTATTTTTAAGAAGTAATTCACCTTCAAGAAGGTGAAGCCGTTTTAAGCATTTTTAGTCACTAGCGCCAGTCCGTTGCCTTTTGAGACATTTTGAAATAGAGCAGCAGTTATGCTCTTGAGACTTTTAAGATGAGCAGCAGTTATATATGCTCTTGAGAATCGTGGTGAAGAGCCACCACGATGAGTTTAAGATGTTAGGGGGATGAATCGTTACGACTCCCCTAACTAAGTTTAAGTTTAAGGAATGCCTGGATGGCTTCTCATACGTATGAGTTGGGGAACCGGACTAGCTAGTGAGGGATCCCCCGTGTTAGTCAAGTATTTAAGTCAAGATTTGAGCTTTAAGAGAAGAGAGTAACTTCAACTCCCTCAAAGTTTAAGAGTTAAGATTTTAAGATTGGAAGTACAAACAACTTCCACTAGTCAAAGTTAAGTGTTTAAATAAAGTACTCAAGTATTAGAATTATTAAAACGTAAGGGCGTAGACTGACCCCATCTCAATCACCAGTACTTAGTGAAGGGATAAGCGAGAATTAGATCGATAGTTGCAGCTAGAGGAGCAGTTAGTGAGTAGCAAGATCGAGAAAGCTGTTCGGGGCAAGCCAACTAGAGGAGGATAGTACAAGCGTCACTGGAGGTGCCATAGATCGAATCCGAGCGGACAATAAAGTAGAGTATTAGTTATTTACATTTATGATTATGAGTAGTGACTGGAGATTCAGATTAAGATTCTATGGTTGAGGTTTTCCCAAGTGTTAGGGCTTTGTTTTAAGAGATTTCAGTTCATTTCAGTATTTGTTATGGTTATTTATGGAAAGCTTCCATTTTCTTTTAGGGTTAATTGCAAGGTTGGTCACTGGGTTTACTAAAAACATTCATGTTTGGTCACTGCAAATATTTAATTTCATTCATGGTCACCAAGATTAGTTTAATAGTTCAAGTTTGGTCACTCACCGTTAAACTCCGTTAGTTTTTGCTGATGTGGCGGTCAACTATTATAGTTGACCGTTAAATGAGTGACGTGGCCTATAAAAAAAAATTAAAATATTAAAATTTAAACATTTATAATTTCCACCTCATTTTACAACTATTAAAATATAAAAATAAAACTTAATAGATGGCTACGCCACCACTATTCTGATCCATGGTGCCGAATCTCCCCGGCTTTGGCGATCTTGAGCCGGTTCTCGGGCTTGTTCTTGGCGAGCAGCCTGATCTCCATGGTGGCCTGCTTCTGCTCGTCAATGGCGCATGAGTCGACGCTGGAGACGAGGTGGAGCATGAGGTCATCGGAAACAACACCCCGGCGTCAGCACAAACACCGTATCATCACCGCCCAACGAATTCACTTCAACCCATTCCCCCATCTCCTTATCCAATTTGTACACCCTGAAATCCACCGCTCTAGGGTTCCATCCCCTGTCTCTCCCCGTACCCACAAAGCGGCGGATTGGGTGAAAGCTGCTGGCAATGGCATCCTCCACATCCTTCCAATTCCTCCTCCTCCCATCCAAATATCTATCCACCAAATACAAATCTCCCCCGGACTCCACCAGATTCTTCTGGCCGGAGCCGCCGCCGTCGGGGGGCTGCGGCGCTGAGCAGGGTTCCACGAATTTCAGGGACGAATCGATCACAAACAGTTTCCCAAATCTGTCGACGACGTGATACCGACCTCGGTGGATAATTATGTCGTCGTAATCGAAAATCCTGTCGTCTAACGGAGTCCAATCCTCTTCCCCGTTTCTCCAATACCCTATTCTGCCTTTATGGAAAATGGCTATGATGGTGACACTCTGCTGTTGAGGCAGGGGATTTGCAGAGTGGGGAAAGACGACGAATTTATTCACCTCGAAGGCTGTGAATCCATCCCGATATGTGAGGCGGAATGAGGAGCTCAATTGGACGTCGCGGAAGCCGGCCAAGCTCAATTGGGTTGGAGTGTAGCGGAGCTTGAGGTTGGAAATCGGGTCCACAAGCTGTAGCTTGCCGTGGCTTGCTTCTTCGATTTTGACCGGCCAACCGCCGGCGACGGCGAAGGTAGAATCGCCATTGGGGATCGGAGGAGGGTGAAACTCCACGAAGCACATAATGGAGGGAACGAGGACGCCGTCGACGTCGCCGGGGTAAGGTAGTCGGACTTCAATGGGCGGAATTGGATGGTGGAAGTCAGGGGTACGGACGGCGGAGCGCCAAGAACGGCAGACGGAGCGGAAGTTGAGAATGTTGATTGGGTGGTCGATGCGGCTTCCGATTGCTTCCAGGATCTCCTCAGGAAGATCTTCCCATGGTGAGCCACCGCAATTCGTCATCTTAATTTTGCTCGTCCGGCTCACTCCGAGTGGAATTGGAGAAATGTAGACGCCGGCGGGGGAAGTTAGTGCTGGGGAGAATTTTTAAGTGGTAAAGTACATAATGAACAAAAAAATTGCAGGGGATTGTGATTGGCTAAAGCGAAAGGTGTGAAACCCAGCTTTCAATCCCAGCTAGCAACAGCGACCGATCCGGCGAGTTCCGCACCACCTCCACCTAGACCCGCCACCTCCTCGTCTCCTGCGCCGCCGACAACTCCGACGACCTCATGCTCCACCTCGTCTCCAACCTCGACTCCTGCGCCATCGACGAGCAGAAGCAGGCCACCATGGAGATCAGGCTGCTCGCCAAGAACAAGCCCGAGAACCGCCTCAAGATCGCCAAAGTCGGGGAGATTCGGCACCATGGATCAGAATAGTGGTGGCGTAGCCATCTATTAAGTTTTATTTTTATATTTTAATAGTTGTAAAATGAGGTGGAAATTATAAATGTTTAAATTTTAATATTTTAATATTTTTTTATAGGCCACGTCACTCATTTAACGGTCAACTATAATAGTTGACCGCCACATCAGCAAAAACTAACGGAGTTTAACGGAGAGTGACCAAACTTGAACTATTAAACTAATCTTAGTGACCATGAATGAAATTAAATATTTGCAGTGACCAAACATGAACGTTTTTCTCAACCATTGCGATCCCAAATCTTGGCAAGAAATGCGGAAACTGGCAACTTTTGGATTCGTTTTAAGTACGAATTTCTCCCCGGTTTTTGTTTCCACTGTGATCGGGTGGGACATGGTCGCCAAACATGCTCTTTCGATCCCCCGTCTAGAAAAGAGCGGTTTGGCCCCCACATGTCTACAAAAGAAATGGAGATGAAAATCTTTGAGGATGATGTAGGTACCCAACAGTACCGTAGGCACCCGAAGTCTGTCTGGATCAACTCGGCTATCCGCGGGGACAAGGTGCCTATGGCGGGTGAGGCCCCTAGACCCCGTAAGCAGCAAGCAGGAGCTCCAACTCTTAATGGGTCGTCTGTTATGGAAGGTAGCCCGTTGTGGATGGGTACGTCAGCAGATCCATTTATCCCACTGAACCTCAAAAGGCGCCAGAGAGGAGCCCATTTCGATTCCGGTGGCCAAGGCTCCCAAAATCTCCGTTGGGAGGACGAGTCACCGCGGCAAAGCAAGGGGAAGGGTTGGAAGTCCAATGGAGATTGATGGCGGCCCACGGGAGCCTCGTAAAGCGGCTGGTCGGAAAGCCCGGGTCACGAGGGAGCCGGATGTGAAACAATTCCGTGGTGTGCGTGACATGGGCAAACGGCCAGGTGGGCGGTCTAAAGCTGCCGTGCATGAGCCCATTGCTGAGATGGCGCAGATAAAAGAAGGAGATGAGATACAACGGAGGCGGCGGCTACTCTTAGAGCAGGAATCGGAGGATGATTTTCTGATGGCGGACGTCTCCTCTCCCAAACTGATGCAAAAGCCGACGAAAGGGGGCTGCTGTGACCGCCCTTGCGTGGGGAATCAGCAGGTGCTAGAGGCGGTGCCACTGAGGCAGGTGGCTCCTGACCCGGATAACATGCGACATCGTCCCAGGGAGAACCAATCCCTGCAAGGCGCTTCTGTCCCACATCGTGCTGAAACAGGCGAGGGGAAGGCAGAACGTCCGCCTCTGCTGATGAGAAGGGGGAAGAAGAAGCTGGACAGAGAGCCAAGGGAGGTTTTATTGAAATCTCCAGTCCCGGATGTGTGGGAAGCGGATGACTCGAGTTCGGAGGAGGAGGCGCTGTCTTTTGAAGTGCGGCGTCGGTCACCGCAGGAGAAGGAGAGCCTAAAACGCCTGGTTCGCTCAAACCGGGTGAACCAAGTGGTTCAAGCCTTTGAGAAAGGGTTGGCTATGAAGGAGCCGGAACCGGATATTGGTTCGACCCATCAGCAGGTCTTGGGCTCGGAGAAAACTCTTGACATCAATGAATATGGGTCCAATATTGTAGACCATGAGGAGGGGAATAAAAAACGTCATTTTGACGAGCTTGAGGGCGAGATTGCCGACACACCAACACCAAAACAACAATTCGTGGAAGACAAGGATGAAGCTGAAAAGGTGGAGGAAGCCAGCCTGGAGTGGCCCCACCCCGATAAATGACGCTTCTGGCCTGGAACGTGAGAGGAATTGGACCATCCCTCACGTCCCAAACTGCTGTCAGTTTGGTTCACTCCAATAAACCGGATCTCGTGTTTTTTTCTGAAACACGATCGAGACGGAGAGTAGTTGCCCGTCGTATGCGGGGTTTAGGTTTCCTTTCTTCGTGCTGTTTTTTCGTTGATGCGATTGATGCATCTGGTGGCTTGGTTGTCGCTTGGTCCTCTGAAGTTACTGCTTCAGTGTTTTATCATTCGAATTTTTGTATTTGTGTTCGAGTTAATGAAATAAACTTTTCCTATGTGGTGATTTTTTTTTACATTAGTTGTAATGCTGCTATTCGCGCTACCCAGTTGCAAATGCTGCAGGATATATGTAATGGTATCGTTGATCCCTTTGTTATCATTGGTGATTTCAGCTCTAATCTCAATGAGAGTGAGAAGGATGGGGGTAATCAATGGAATATGGTGCAATCTCTTAGTCTTCGAAATTTTGTTCAAGATTTGGGTCTTATTGACCCGGGATATCATGGGGATCCATTCACTTGGACAAACAAAAGAATGGGAGCGGCCTGTATTCGTGAGAGGCTAGATAGAGCTCTTTGCTCCCAAGCCTGGCTGGATCGATTCCCCGAGACTCTGGTTAAGCACTTCACAGACCAGGGATCAGATCATCGGGCGCTCCTGTTATCAGATAAGCCGTATGCTCGCCATAGCCACCCTCTCTTTTGTTTTGACGCTCGCTGGGCGGATAACCCGGAGGTCAAGGCTATGGTCACATATGTTTGGTAGGAGAATGTCCAAGGCACTCCTATGTTTCGCCTTTGGGAGCGCCTCAAAAAACTCCGCCATCTCCTATATGACTGGAGCAGAGCAGGGACAACTAACTCTTTGCGTAATATTCGAACTTTGCAAACTGAAATTGAAAGGATCAAGCAGCATCACCCGATTAATTGGGATGAGATCCGTGACCTTGAGATAGAACTTAATAGACAATGGGAGGCAGAGGAGCTATACTGGCAGCAGAAATCCCGGGTCCACTGGCTCAAGAAGGGTGATAAAAACACTTCATATTTCCATACGGTAACTCGAACTCGCCAGAAAAAGAATTTTGTGGCCGGGCTCCAGAATGATAATGGGGAGTGGATCACTGACGAGAAAGGTAAAGCGGATGTTGCGACTAATTTCTATCGCCATCTTTTCACATCCGAAAATCAGGTCCAAAATTTGAGTGAGCAGGTAGCTGCTCTGCCCATTGCCCAGAATGTTACCCCGGATATGAATGATGCCCTAACTGCGATAGTGCTCCCAGAGGAAGTGCGCCGGACCGTATTTGCTATGGGATCGAAGCAGGCTCCGGGGTCCGATGGGTTCACGGGTAAATTTTTCAAAGCTTTCTGGGAAATTGTGGGGCCATCAGTGATTGAGGCAGTCTGCTCTTTTTTTGTAACGGGTAAGATGCTCCGTAGTTTCAATCATACATGGCTCACCTTAATTTCGAAAGTGGATAATGTTGAATCGATGCGGCATCTTCGACCCATCAGTCTATGCCAATTTGTTTACAAAATTATAACCAAAATTTTGGCTGAGCGGCTGGCTTGCGTGCTCCCTAGCATTGTCTCAGAAGGTCAAAATGGGTTTATTCGGGAAAGACAAATTGTGGAGAATATCCTCCTCGGACATGAACTTATGCATTACCTAAAAATCAAAACGCGTGGGAAGAAAGGGTACATGGCTCTAAAGGTTGACATGGAAAAGTCCTATGATAGAGTTGAATGGCCTTTTCTCCTTACGGTTTTGGAAAATATGGGTTTTAATTCTGTCTGGATATGATGGATTCAGGAATGCCTCAGATCTATGTCTTTTTCAGTGATGATGAATGGGACCCCGTCAGGTTATTTCACTCCATCCAGGGGGCTTCGCCAGGGGGATCCTTTATCTCCTTTGTTGTTTGTTCTTTGTACAGAGGGGTTTGCGGCTCTTCTCCGGAAGGCTATCTCAGACAAGAAGTTAGCTGGGATTAAGTGGCCCCCACGGCACCACGAATCTCGCATTTATTTTTTGCTGATGACTCATATTTATTCTTACGGGGAACACTCCAAGAATGTGAAAATTTAATGGAGGTTTTGAATGAGTATGAGGAGCTTAGCAGCCAACGAGTAAATTTGACTAAATCTGCGGTGTGCTTCAGTAAGAATATTACGATTTCGGATCAAGAGTTCTTAGCTTCAATTATGGGGGTGGTGGCAGTTGGGGTTCATGATAAATACCTTGGGCTCCCGACTTTGATTGCGAGATCTAAAATGGAGACATTCCGTTATTTGGAGGAGAAGCTTTTGGAGCGGCTCCAGGGGTGGAAGCAGAGAACTTTGTCCTGGGCGGCTAAGGAAACCCTGATAAAATCGATTGCCTTGGCTTTGCCTTTGCATGTGATGTCCTGTTTCAAATTGCCTCTCTCTCTTTGCCGCCTTTTGGATAGGCATGTTGCCCGTTTCTGGTGGGGTGTAAGTGGAGACCATTCGAGGGTTCGATGGATGTCCTGGCGGGATATGTGTCGGAGTAAACATGATGGGGGCATGGGGTTTCGACGGTTTGAACATTTTAATCAGGCCCTCTTGGCTAAGATTGGGTGGCGCATTCTCAGTGAGCCCCAGTCGCTTCTTGCCCAAGTTTACAAAGGGAAATATTTCCCGCATGGGCACTTCCTAAATGCTCAGGCTCGCTCTCGTCCCTCGTGGGGTTGGCAGAGTATCCTGTTTGGACGGCGACTTTTAGAAATGGGGTTGCGTTGGCAAATTGGGAATGGCCGTTCGGCGTCCATGCTGCGCTCTACTTGGGTTCCTCAACACCAGT